CCGCCGCTTTCTGCGGCCGAATCTCTGCTGCGGACCGTGCTGTCCATTATTGTTCCCCGCTGATGGAAGGCTGCGTGCGGCTCAGGAAAAACTCTCCGCTTATTTGTGACTTGAGCTGGAGCAGTGCCTGGGACCGTGAAGAACGGCTCCCATACAGTCAAGTCCCAGGCCAACTTCTCTCTCCCAGACTCTTGACGCTGAGGACGCCTGCTGTAATTCGGACAGTTCATAGTATACAGGTCCCTACAGTGTTGACTTAGAGCGCCCCGTGCTGGTACTATCACCAAATGCATCGAAAATGCATGACATCTCGCCCAGATCGTTTTTTAAATAAGCAATCTATAGTTTACCCAGCTGCCATAGATGGATCAATAACAGGCCTATCAGACACAGCATGGTACCAAAGGGTGATGGGAACCTGAGATCCATGAAGAGACTATCTGAGTTTTATTTTGACTTTTTAGTTTGGCTCATGTCCCATCTGCTAACACAGAGGAGGATGACTTTACCACCTGAAGTGCAGCCATCCACCAGGTGATCAACTCACAGTGGCTTTATTTCTGAGAGCCTGTCCATCATTTTTTACAGCCGATGCTAAAAAAACAGACACCAAACTACTAGGGACACAAAACAAGCACATGAAGACACAAATTGATTACAAATCATGTGGGTGCTCCATCTATGAGTCTTCTTCATGGGAGTGTAGGAGGTTAGGGGCCTTTTACATGTCTGTGCCCAGGGGCCGGTATCGTTATCAGCCCATGTCAGTTGCCACTTTATTAGGTACACCTAGATAAAACTAATACAACAGTCCTGCAATAAGGCTCCAAAATGAATCATTACACATAATGAAATGCATTTAATGTGATTCAAATAGCAGTATGAATAAAAAATATTAGCTCACTGTAGAGAATAATGTTGTTATCCACACATTAACTTTAAACTTTGATTTTAACAGCAAAATTCTTTTTAAACAAATTTTTTGAAAAATGAATCTTATTAAGTCCTGCTTCCTGAAACTAAACAATAGTGATGGAATTAGGTTCACAGTGCCTCCATAAGTTGTTGTGCAAACTGTCCATATACCCTCACCTCCATCTTGCAACTTCTTGTTTCAATATCTGAATGTTTAAGCAAATGCTGGTTCACACACTCTGGGAATTCTGTTTGTAGATACTTTTATCCATTATAAAACCTTGCATTGTTATTCTCCCGCTTACAGCTCTGACTGGCTAACCACATATCCAACGACTAAACTACTGTTGGCTGTTGTGTGACAAAACAGTCAGAGCTCATTCTCCACTTATTAGCTTTTTCCAGAGCTTTCACCTGCGCCTGCCAGTTTCCATCAGCAGATCCTGTCTTCAGGTTGAACCAGCAGAGATTTTAAGGTGTTGACTGGTTTGAGACCATTGCAAGGGTGTGAGTATTGTTCAAAAGATGAATTTTCATGTGCAATGTAAAATCATTATTATCACCTGACTGTACAAAGCGGTGTCACATGCTACAGTATGTTGTATCAGTTTGTGAGGTTCACAACAAAAACATGCAGCTGACAGTGTTATACAGAATGTGAAGTTGTTTAATTCAAATAGTTTCTTTCCAGTTACAACAAGCTCACTGATGATTAACTAGGAGGACTGACCCTGAAACATGGGGTAGATAAAACATAACACTCCATGCATGCTGTATCAAACAGAACAACCATGAATACGTAGATCTGATAGTTTTGTTTATGTGGAGCGACATTACAGCAGGTACAACCCTAATCCTACCATACAAGTCCAGAACTATAAACTGTACATGCAAAAACAAACAATACAAATGAAGAGACACACTTTAGTCTATTTTAACGCTGTGCAGATCCTCCACAGTGACGTATACCACCTTAAAATGACACAGACACAGTTACACACTGTTATATTAGGATCATATACAGTAACCCATTTAAATGGGTACAAATAGATGTTAAGTTAAACTTTGGTAGCATTTTTTAAGTGTTTGCATCCATTGTGTCAGTGGAATAGAACCTCTGTCCATTACTACCACACCCTGGCTCCAACTCTATAAGTTACCTAACATTTTAAATTTACACTTTGTCAGACCCCGTTTTTCCAAAGCAATGAACAAAGGACAAACAATCCCTATCAGAGGAGATCTAGGGCAAGCTTTTTAAATAATTGAAAAAGAATTTCAACCTGTTAAGGTTCAGGTGTTAGGGTTAGGCTGCATTCAGACTGAATTTCAAAGGTGTGAAAAAAGCACAACCCTCTCCATTTATTTCTGTAGGGGATTGTGTTCATCTCAGCCGGCACCAGCGCTGCAGGGGTCACCGGCAAAATGACATAACCCAGTGTGGTGAAAACATTGGATCTGGTTCAACTTTCACTGCATCAGGAAGAAGACTATTTTGTTTTTATTTTGTTAGCATGAGCGTTCACTGCTATTCACTGTTGAATTTGGGCCACAGCTAACACGGCATAATGACACGCCCTGTGCAGTATTACCATTAGTACTAGATGTTAACACTGTTAACTGTATCTATCAATACCCACACACTAGTGGCAGAACTGGTGCTAAGGTAGAGCAGGCTACATTAGCACCATGGCTAACCAAAACACAGTGGAAACTCCTGGGCTGGAAATGTCAATGAAGCCACTCATCACAATGCGGCTGTGTTATGCACGCCTACAACACTCTGCCTACAACCCCCAACCAACGCAACCCTTTGCCTTAAAACAAGCAAGGAGTTGCGTTTTTAACAAATCATTCTGAATGCGCTCTTAGAGTTTCCCTTAAAACTGCTTAATGTCTCTGTTTAATTGAGAACACATGTGAAATCCTTCCTTGGTGCATATTATCATAACTGAGGTAAATGTTGAGAAGTGTGAACCAATGTGTAGAACCCATTAACCATCTAACACACTTAGCCAATTCTACACACATAACCAAAGTGACAGAGAGAAAATGAATCCTAAAAGGGTCTCACACTCACCTGATCATGGCAGGGGTCAGGGAAATCACAAATGTCCCGAGGGAAGACAGAACGTATCAACATTTTCACCTCTTCGGGGTAAATATAAGTGGGCTGAAGCAGACTCCCCTCCACCACACCAACCTTATGAAACCTCTGGAGTAAAAGTGAGAGAAGAACAAAGAAACAAAGAGGAAGAGCTGAGACAATATTTCATGACTGCTGGTGGATGTGAATATGCACAACGAATCCTTGAGGATTCACCAGTAGTCGCTTGTCAGTGCACTACGGGTAGGTCATGGTGAAAGAAAAGTAGTCCTGGCATTGTTCTTCCTCAGTTCCTGGCAGTTGGCAGTGGGGAGTGGTAATAAGAAGGATGAGTAGAAGACTTTGGACTGATTACTGTGGGCCACCTATCTATTGTTTTAAGTTCATGGGGGAGTTGCCATAGGGAATGAGTCTTCCAAACGTAAATAAATAAGGTCATTATTACTGCTTTCCAAAACGACTCCTTGTAACCTAGTTTTGAAAAGCGCTACATACAAAGATCAAAGGTTTTATTGTCAATTCATTATATGTGCAGGACATACAGAAAATCGAAATACCATTTCTCTCTCACCTAGTATTGAATGCCATCCCATTTAGGAAACTAAAATAGAATAAAAGTAGAGTAAAAATAGCCTAAAAAGAATAAGAAAACTAAATCAAAGTGATTAGGATAAAACTAAATGGTATAACCTAATAGGCTATGACTCAACCCATGTACAATCACTGACAGTAGTGCAAATAATAAGAAGATTGTCAGATGGTTGTGAGATTGAGATGCACATGGACAGTAGTGCAAATGACCAACAGCAGCAGATATGACGGTAAAAACAGTCAGCAGCAGATTTACATGTAATATAACAGGAAGGGGGAATGTACTGGGTTTGTGCAAAACAGCAGAGGTAGTCTTTTTATGTTCTGTGGTGGGTCACAGTCCAGGGGCAGAGGCGGGGAGGTAATGGACAGCGTTTCAGCATCCTCACAGCCTGGAGGATGAAGTTGTTTGTAAGTCTGGCGGAGTGGGCCTGAAGACTCCGATACCTTCTCCCTAAAGGCAGGAGTCTGAAGTGGGAGTGTGAGGGGTGGGAGGTGTCATCAGCAATGCTGATGGCCTTGTGGGTGAGGTGGGTGTTAAAAATGTCTGTGAGGGAAGGGAGAGCGGTGTAGATGATCTTGCTGGCTGTATACAGTAGGTAATGTTATTATTATGATATGATCATTAAAGTGCAAGAGACATATGGTTAAAGCTTGTATATGACATAAGAAAGAAGTGTTGTAAAACACTGTTTTAGGAACCAACCAGTTTTCTCTGTAGAAGCCTGTAGACCTTCTTGCGACGGGCATGGTCACTCCTAAGGCGTTTGGCAGCATGGATCAGTGCTGCTATCCACACAGGAAGTCTGCAGACAGGGCAAGAGTTAGAAATGAACATACACCTATGGTAGTTCTCTTCTGAGCTGTTTATGATGACACAACTTATCATGTCACTATCTCATAATGACTGACTCTGAAGTCAGCCAATGATAAAACATGGACCAAGGTAGGCTGGATGTTCAGCCAGTAACACAAACTCAGATTAGTCCTTTTTTAGTTGCTGCAATTTGAAATGTGTCTATTTAACTAGGGCTTTCTTGTGCTACAGTCTCCCGGTCCAAAGCATCAGAACCTTTAAGGCTGGGGAAAATCACATCCAGCACCTGGACTATCAGCACAAGCGTCCCATAGGGATGTGCCCTGTGGTGTGGTCACAGTAGAGTCCTTCAACTTCCTGGGCTCCATAATCTCCCAGGACCTGCGGTGGATGTCCAACAGCAGCACCATCATCAAGAAGGCACAGCAGAGGATGTACTTCCTGTGCCAGCTCAGGTGTTGTAGTGCTGTAGTACCTGAGTCCAGGAATGGGACTTGAGTCCATCTTGAGTCCTGATTTTCAGGACTCCTGACCTGACTTAGACTTGAGCACTGACAACTCAAACTTGGACTCGAGCACTGACTGCATTCAGACTTAGAAGTTGGAGATGAGGACTGACTTTTCTTTTTGTAATAAGCCATAATAATCTGGAATAGGATATTGATATTAAAATCTGGTCACCCGCACCATGCTGTATCCAGCGCACTTCCATCGAAGAGCACACTCCGCCTTTCTAGAAATGATTTTTATGTATTAAATTGCCAAGAAATAAGGTGACACAATACATTGCTGGAAAGTTTGGAATCTAAGATGGTGAGAACTATGTCACTTGCATTTAATATAGACATTGATAACTCTGACTCGTAGTGGGGACGCGACTCGGACTAGGCTTTGGTGAGTCCGACTTGATTTAGATTCGAACACTGGGGCTCTTGAGACTTGACTCAGATTTGAGGTTCAGTGACTTGACTACAACACTGGTTTCAACACAGCCCTCACAGAGTTAGACTCAATTCATTTTCATGTGCTTTAGATATTTTTTTTCAGACCAGCTGTAATATTCTGCCATTATTCTCACAATAATGTAATTTTTTTAAATACATGTTGGCAGCCTTGAAGAGGTGTGTGTCTGCTCTACACTGAAGGATGGGAAAGTGGAAAGATAATTTTAGCTTACCCAAATGAACAGCAGAGATCCACGTACTCGTCCATTAGAAGGTTTTTGAGGGTTGTAGGATCTGTAAACAAAAAGACGCAGTTTGTCTAAACATACGGTGCATCTGTGATGAACCAAGGTATTGTCGACAAGTGCAGTCGGACTAATACAGAATATCTGTTCTGAGGAAAATGAATTTTTGGTTTTATATGACAGTGTTTCATCTTTGATCTTGGAGAGGCTGTTGTTAAAGTCAACGTCAAGTTCAAGTCTAATACTTTAGACAGTTCTTGACTCAAGTCCAATGTGACCTGAGTCCAAACCTTGGCCATGGAGTGAGCCCATACTGCATCACACAGTAATATAGATTTTAAAAGTACTAACAAAATCTTCTCTTTCTTTCTTTTATGAGTTGAACAATTAGGGCTGCACCTAACAACTGCCTTCATTGTTAATTAATATGTCAGTATTATTTTTTTGAGTAAATGTCTATAAAATGTCATGATTCCTTCCTTATTGCTAAAGTTACTAGTTTTGCTTACTTCCTTATTCCTCACCATGGTGCCACTGGGCCATTTCACACCCGGCACATCCCACCTGGTTGCCGGTGTTCAGTTCTTACCATCTGCAGCCCCGTTACAAAAACTACTCCAGTCAGCCACTTGCTAACCTGCAGTTGCACCTTCAATATAGGGCTGTCAGCTGTATCACACTGCTAACTAGCAGAATGAAATGCAACTTTTACTTGGTTACATTTGAGAAGTTAAGTTTCTGGTCGCTGCATTTTACAAGACGGTGAAGTGCCTTTAATCAATCTGCTTATTCCCCCCCTATTAATTATTAGAGTAACATTAATGCGTCTTTACTGTGGGGGAGTTTTTTAACTGCCTGTCAAATTAAAGCACGGGTAAAACTGCAGAAAGGGCGTTAAGCTGATGAAGTCCCAACCTACCCACCTGTTACCGTGAGCTCGGGTCAGGTCGAATCTGTTCCCCACTCGAAGTGTTTCAATACCCGTGTATAGTATTACCGCGATACATCATGAGATCCGGCATGAAGTCCTGCAGTCATGATTAAAGGTTGCACAGGGCCTTAGGCTTTGATTACTGTTCAGTCTGTTGCTTGTGTAGTTTTGGAAATCATGTCAATCCACAGTTTAGCCGGTTTAAGATCTGATTTAAAATCAGTACTAGGAAAAAATGAGCAAATTATCCAGTTGTGATGCAACACTATTTTCCTTCACTTCAGATACAGGAGGCATCCAGATGTGTCCATCAAGCACATCACAGACAACAGTGGGCTGATGCTTGGACCACTTTTAGGCATCTCCCACATACAGTACAGTATTGTGTAATCTTGATGACATACATTTTCACACAGCTATCATGTGTGATAATATGTAACTTGTAAGTAGTTTCACAATAAGACAACAGGACATTTGTTTTCTTTACATTAGGTAATAAGTTATTATTAAAGAATAGTGTTATATTTTGAAGGCATTTAGAACTTGCTTTATGTTTCAAATGGCAGGTTTAGATTTCTTTGGTCATGCAGTCATCCCAGCCTTTTGTACTTACCAGCTGTGAAATGACTGCTTCTTAGCACAACTCTGTGGAAAAATTCAAAGTTCATCTTTAGCTACAGTGACATCAGGCTTGACCCACTGGAGTTAGATAAATCATGTGATCTTCTTACAAAATTAGCTTTTTAGTATGCACTTCTTTCCCTCCACTGCAGCTCAGCAAGGAAACCCAAGAAAGGAATCTTATACAAAACAGTAATGCACATGTCTCTGTCTCCACATTTAATAATTTTCTGTCATTTTCTAATTAATTTATGTTTATCTGTTTTTAAAAAGTGGTGGCTTTTGTCATAGATATGGAAGAGTTTTAACTTTGACAGTCCAAAATGTAACGCTTAACAAATCCAGTACTGTTAAAGGCATCTTTGATCCACTGGCTCATTGCAATATTTATATTTATTTAACCTTTATTTCCTGAGGAAGTCCCATTGAGATCAAGATCTGTTTTTCAACAAAACAATAAACCAAAAAAAAAAAAAAAAAAAATCCATTCACAGGATAAAAACAATGTACAAATTCGAGGTGCATTAAAAAGTAACCACCTGGAAGAGAGCAGCTGGGAACCACCAGAGCTGAGACCGAAAAAGGTGCAGATAAGCTGGAAGTATATCCAGTATCGCTTAATAGGTAAAAATACACCAGTGTTGTTTAAAATAAAAGCCGATCTTGACCTTAAGCTTCCTAACTTCAATAGCAATATGCACATTGAATAAAAACCTATGACCTCTCCACACCTCCAGGTAGTTGCAGGAAGACACTCTT